CCCAGTCCCAGGGTGCTCCAGCCTGGCCTGGGACCCTGCCAGGGACGGGGCAGCCACAGATTCCCTGGGAATTCCCTCCCAGGGAAGGAAACCCCACCCAAAATCCCATCCCTGACCCCTGACCCCAGCCCAGGGCACTGACCTGGCCCAGGGCGCTGGTGAGGCCGAAGAGGAGGATGTTGGAGATGATGCTGGGATAACGCTCCGTGAAACTCAGGAACTCCCAGAGCTCCCCCGTGAACAGGATCCCTGGAAAACAGCCCGGGAGGAGCAGCCTGGCTGGGGATTCCTGCCCACGGGGGTCAGGCTGGGCTCAGAACCCCCAAAACAGGGAGCGAACCCCACAAACGCCAGCAGGAAACACCAGCAGCAGAATCAACCGCCCTGCTGGTTAATTAGTGAAAGGAAGATGATTAACTGGGATCAAATTCCAACAGAACAGTCCCCAGCAATCAACCAGAGCTCTGATCCTGGAATGGTGGGGCTGGAAGGGACCTGAAAGTGCCATGAAAGTGCCAGGGCAGCTCCCGGCCCTGCTGGGCTCCAGCCTGAGCTCCCGGCTGGAGCAGGAGCTGCTGTGGGAGCTCCAGAGAGCCCGGGGAGGGGCAGGGCTGGGCCAGGAGCCAGGAAAGCCCAAAAAGCGCCAAAAAGCACCAAAAAGCTGAGGCAGGCCCGGGCTCCTCACCTGCCCCCAGGAAGAGCGTGGACCAGAGGTTGACGTGCAGCATCATGTGGTTGGAGCCCGTCTGGTAGTGAGCGCGCATGTGGTCCTGAGACACCCCCGTCAGCCCGTCCAGGGTCAGAGACAGCAGCTGTGCACGGATGGACAGATGGACGGGAGGGGGACAGACAGATGGGACAGACACAGACAGGGGACAGATGGGGACAGATGGACAGATTGGGGACAGATGGACAGATTGGGGACAGACAGGGCACAGACAGAGCACATGGTCAGGCCCGGCTCCCCTCCCCAGGGCAAAAGGCAATTCCCGTTTTACAGCCTCACTGAGGGTGTAACCCGGGGGTAAATCCCACCTGAGGGTTAATCCCCACCCAAAACCCTGGAATTTATCCCAGGTGAGGGGTAAACCCCACCCGAATCCCAGGATTTCTCCCGGGGGTAAACCCCACCTGAATCCCAGGATTTCTCCCAGGGGTAAATCCCCACCCGAGTCCCCCGGGGCTCCTCCCAGGGGTCACCCCCGAGGCCCCGTGGGGTCCCCGTGGGGTCCCCGCACTCACCAGGAGCAGCTCCCCGTAGCCAAAGACGTGCTCGGTGTCCCCCATCCCCTTTTTGGGCTTGTAGAGGAACAGGGCCACCCCCGCCACGATGAGCAGCACGCACAGGTACTTGGCTGGGGGGTACCTCTTCCGCAGCAGCGTCACCCCCAGCAGCATCACTGGGAAATGAGAGCTCAAAAACTGCCCCAAAACCCACCCACGGGAGTTAAACCCCAAAAATTTCACCCACAGCAGCACCATGAGGAAAAGGGAGCTCAAAAACTGCCCCAAAACCCACCCATGGGAGTTAAACCCCAAAAATGTCACCCCCAGCAGCATCACTGGGAAATGAGAGCTCAAAAACTGCCCCAAAACCCACCCACAGGAGTTAAACCCCAAAAACTGCCCCAAAACCCACCCATGGGAGTTAAACCCCAAAAATGTCACCCCCAGCAGCATCACTGGGAAATGAGAGCTCAAAAACTGCCCCAAAACCACCCACGGGACTTAAACCCCAAAAATGTCACCCCCAGCAGCACCATGAGGAAATGAGAGCTCAAAAACTGCCCCAAACCCACCCCCGGGACTTAAACCCCAAAAATGTCACCCCCAGCAGCATCACTGGGAAATGAGAGCTCCAAAACTGCCCCAAACGCACCCACGGGAGTTAAACCCCAAAAATGTCACCCCCAGCAGCATCACTGGGAAATGAGAGCTCAAAAACTGCCCCAAAAGCACCCACGGGAGTTAAACCCCACGAAGTCAATCCCAAATCCTGCCTGGGCAGACAGAACATCCCACCCCGACCCCAAACCCGCTGTGGGGTGGAAGCCAGGAGGGGCTGTGGGGGGCCCAGAGCTCCACAGACCCCCCAAAAACGGGCAAATCTCTCACCTGGGATGGGTTTGCAGGACTTGCCCAGGACCTGGGGAGGGAAGTGGGTGTGAACGAGCCGTACTCCAAAGGGAGAGCCCAAAGGGGGAGAGAGAGCCCCAAAAAGAGAGAGAGAGTCCCAAAAAGACAGAAAGAGCCCCAAAGGGGGAGAGAGAGCCCCAAAAAGAGAGAGAGAGTCCCAAAAAGAGAGAGAGAGCCCCAAAAAGAGAGAGAGAGCCCCAAAAAGAGAGAGAGAGTCCCAAAAAGACAGAAAGAGCCCCAAAGGGGGAGAGAGAGCCCCAAAAAGAGAGAGAGAGTCCCAAAAAGAGAGAGAGAGCCCCCAAAAGAGAGAGAGCCCCAAAAAGAGAGAGAGAGTCCCAAAAAGACAGAGAGAGCCCCAAAGGGGGAGAGAGAGCCCCAAAAAGAGACAGAGAGCCCCCAAAAGAGAGAGAGCCCCAAAAAGAGAGAGAGAGACCCAAAAAGAGAGAGAGAGCCCTCCTGTGTCCACCTGGGTGGGGTGGCTGTGTTCCCATGTCCCCATGTCCCCCCGTGTCCCCGGGCCCACCTGGGTGGGTGGCTGTGTCCCCATGTCCCCATATCCCCCCGTGTCCCCCATGTCCCCGAGCCCACCTGGGTGGGGTTTCTGTCCCCCCATGTCCCCCATGTCTCCCCGTGTCCCCGTGCCCACCTGGGTGGGGTGGCTGTGTCCCCGTGTCCCCTATGTCCCCCCAGTCCCCGTGCCCACCTGGGTGGGGTTTCTGTCCCCACCTGGGTGGGGTGGCTGTGTCCCTGTGTCCCCATGTCCCTGTGTCCCCATGTCCCCTGTCCCCGGGCCCACCTGGGTGGGGTAGATATGTCCCCCCATGTCCCCCTGTCCCCCGTGTCCCCGAGCCCACCTGGGTGGGGTGGCTGTGTCCCCATGTCCCGTGTATCCCCATGTCCCTCAGAGTCCCCGTGTCCCCATGTCCCCGAGCCCACCTGGGTGGGGTGGCTGTGTCCCCATGTCCCCTGTCCCCCCGTGCCCACCTGGGTGGGGTAGCTGACGAACTGCAGCGCGGCGTTGCTGGACACCATGGCTCCCAGGTAGGACAGCGAACAGGCCCCGTACAGCCACCCCCGGGTGCGGTCCGGCCGCGCCGCGTCCACCAGGCGGATCACTGCGGGGACAGCACGGTTCGGCACGGCTCGGCACGGCACGGCACGGCCCGGGGCTCCCGGCCATCCCGCACTTACGGAGTTTGGCGAAGGCGGCGTTGATCACGCACTGGATGAACACGAGCGTCAGCGCGAACCTGAACTTCTCCTGCTTCGAACCCTCCCCGTAACGGCCCCGGGTGCTGCGGGACGGACACCGGTGAGACCGGGACAGAGAGAGACAGGCACCGGGGACACCGGGACACGGGAGAGACAGGCACCGGGGACACCGGGACAGAGAGAGACAGGCACCGGGGACACCGGGGATAGAGAGAGACAGGCACCGGGGACACCGGGACACGAGAGAGACAGGCACCGGGGACACCGGGACACGAGAGAGACAGGCACCGGGGACACAGCGGGACAGGCACCGGGGACACCGGAGACAGAGCGGGACCGGCTCCGGTGACACCGGGGACAGAGAGAGACACGCACCGGTGACACCGGGGACAGAACCGCGGGCATGGGAAGGAGCGGCGCGCCCTGGCCGGCTCCGGCTGCCCGGGTGTGCCCCGGTCTCTCCTCCCCCGAGCCCCCAGCCCCGGGTGTGCCCGGTGCCCCCGCCCGTGTCCCCGCTCCCCCCGGTGCTGCTCACATGCTCTCCTGCAGGATGCCGTAGTAGAAGTAGCAGGCGAACACGCCGAGGAAGCAGACGGGCAGGCGGAGGCGCTCGGGCAGCGCCGGGGCCGCGCTCGCTCCCATGGCGGCGGCGGCGCCGCTCAGCGCGGGCGGCACCTCCAGCGCCACATCCCGCGGCGCCCCGGGCGGCCTCATCGGCCCCGCCGCGCCCGCCCCGCCCCGCGCCGCCCGCCGCGCTGCCCGGCCCGCCGCGGGGGGAAAGCCGGACGAGACGCGCTGGGGACGGCGCGGGACCGGGCGGGGACTGCACACCGAGATCGCCGAACCCTCCCCGGGGCTGCGCCCGCCGCGGTTCCGCCGCGATGGGACCAGGGGTGTGCGGGGCAGAACAGGCAGTACTCAGGGCACCCCAGACTTAGGGGGTCTTGTCGATGCACGGCGCGCGCGGGAGGACCACCAGATGTGGGCCGCGGCGATTGGCTGGGCTGAGGGGGCGGGATAGAGCGACGGGTTCTGATTGGTGCATATGAAGTGGGGCTCCGCCTACTCTGTGCGACCCCTAGCGGGGCCTTCCGGGGTCCTTCCGCCGGTCCGGGCCCGCTGGAGCCCGGCGGGGCGGAAGTACCGGGGCCCGGCCGGGATTGGCTCCGCCCTCCCCAGGGCCCCGTTCAGCCGCTGCCGCTGCTCCAAGCTGCGCCTCCGGGACGTTCCCGGGCTCGGCGGGGCCGGGGAGCAGCGAGTCGGGAAAGCACTTTGGCCGGGAAGGGCCGAACCCCCGCCATGGCGCTTTGTCCTTTACAGTTCCTCTCATCCTTCCGGGGATTCCAACACGGTTCGCAATGCCCGGGCCACACATCCCACCCCCAGGGCACTGCCCCCGCAGGCCGCGCGGAGGAACTGCCACTGCTGCAGTTCCCGAGGCTTCCGCCTCAGCTCGGCGCTGCCCGCACTCAACATGGCGGCCTCGGTAACGGGGGCGCCGCACCCCGCGGGCCCTGTGCCCTTATCAAAGATGGCAGCCGCCACTCCCGCCCAGCCCGCCGCCCCAGTCAAAGATGGTGGCGCACGGCTTCACTGCCGGCGGCGCCTGCCCGGTTCCAACATGGCGCGTGGTCACGTGACGGGGGGTGTGGGCCGCGTCCCGGCGGAAGCGTGAGGGACCGAGCAGGGAACGGCGGCGGGAGCGGGGCTGGCGCCGCAGGAGCAGGCGTGCCGCAGGGCGGGGGACACGGCTGCCACCACGGAGTCCGCCAGCAGCAACACCGCGGCGGCCACCGCCGCTTCGCGGGCCGCGGGTGCCGGGGACCAGGCAACCTCGCTGCCCCCGCCCAGGATGCAGCGCAGGAAGGTGAGCGCGGCCGGGAAACGGGGGAGGCGGCCGACGGGGAGACCGGCGAGCTTGGGCTGCTGCTTTCGACCCTTCCCCAGCCCCTCCGCTGCCTCGCCCGGCTCCAAAACTGGGGGGAAAATAGCGGCCTTGAGCCCCCAGCGCCCGCCTCCCGCGCTCTCCGATTGGCTGCGGCACTATCAGGCCGCGCGCTGATTGGCCGCACTGCCTGTCACTCATCACCCCCAACGGCTACCGCCCCCCTCCCCCGCGCCGCCAGCGGGGCCCGCCCCTCGCCGTTTACGATTGGACACGCTCTCGGAGAGCTGGCCGCCTATTGGACCGGTCTCCGTGCGGGCTGAGCGCTAATTGGCTATGGCTGCTGTCCATCCCCGCCCCCAACGGTCACCTCCCCGCGCGAGCCTTGTTCCTCCCTTCCCCCATCGCGCCGCGGCCTCCCCCCCACGGTTGGCGTTGCCGTGGGAGCAAGCCTCGCGCTGATTGGCCGCCGTTCGCTGTCAATCACGCGAGGCGTCGGCCCGCCTTTTTGCTCCTCGAGCTGCTATTGGTAGGTCTCCCTTTTGTCCCCGCCCACGCGCGCTGTGATTGGCTGCGGCCGGCGCGGCTCCGCTGGGGGCAAAACAAAGCGGCGCGGGGGCCGCGCTCCCGCCACCGGCGCGAGGCGCCCCCCCCTCCCCTCATGGCGGCCACGCCCCTCCCCGCTCCCCTCACGGCCGCCGCCATCGCCGCCCCCTCACCACGAGCCTGGAAAAGGGGGAGCAAAATTAAAGATTTTAAGTTGGAGCGGTTTAATAATGAGAAATGAAGTCATATACTGTGATGTTTTTAAATAACAGTGATAACAGAAAGGGAAAGGAATAAAAATTGCAATGCTGACCAGTGCCAGACACCCTTTGGACACTCAGGTTGCTCCCTCCGCTTTGGGATAATTCTGGTAATTCCTCCAGTTTATATCCTGGGAATGATGCCCTGAGGTGGGAATTTGGCCGTGAGGGATCACCTGTCCTGCTTTGTTTTTGGAAATTCCTCACTGCCAGAGCAGGAGACACAAAAAGAAGGAGGAAAAAAGAATCCCTGACTCGGCATAAACCTCCTGGGTCACCCTTGCAGCTGCAGAGGCTGGGAGGAGGTGCAGAACACGAAATCCCCGCTCAGTTTTGTGTTTTTAGCGGCAGCAGGGCAGCGTTTCAGGGCAGCGTTTCAGCGCGGTGTGTGCTGTTACAGAGGAACGCGGGCAGCAGCTCGGATGGCACCGAGGACTCGGATTTCTCCACGGACCCCGAGCACACGGACAGCTCCGAGAGCGACGGCACCTCCCGCAGATCCGCCCGCGTCACCCGCTCCTCGGCCCGGCTCAGCCAGAGCTCCCAGGGTGAGGGAGGGGCTGCTGCTCGAACCGGGAAAGGCTCTTCCTCAAACTGGGGAAAGCCTTTCCTCAAACCAGGAAAGGCTCTTCCTCAAACCGGGAAAGGCTCTTCCTCAAACTGGGAAAGGCTCTTCCTCAAACCGGGAAAGGCTCTTCCTCAAACTGGGAAAGCCTTTCCTTAAACAGGGCAAAGCTCTTCCTTAAAATGGGGAAAGCCTTTCCTTAAACAGGGCAAAGCTCTTCCTTAAACTGGGGAAAGCCTTTCCTCCTACTGGGGCAAGGCTCTTCCTTAAATTGGGGAAAGCTTTTCCTTAAACTGGGGCTAGGCTCCTCCTCAAACGAGGGAAAAGCCTTTCCTTAAACTGGGGTTAGGCTCCTCCTTAAACCGGGGCTAAGCTCCTATTCAAACCCAGGAAAGGTTCTGCCTCAAACCAGGGAAAAGCCTTTCCTTAAACCGGGGAAAAGCTCCTCCTCAATCTGGGGAAAGATTCCTCCAGCCAGGAAAAGGCTCCTCCTTAAACTAGGGATTCCTCCTTAAACTAAGGAAAAGCCTTTCCTCAAACCAGGGCAAGGCTGCTCCTTAAACTGGGGAAAAACTCCTCCTGTAATGGGGGCAAGGCTCTTCCAGCCCCACACACAAATCCCACACCACCAGCAGTCCTGGTGTTCCAGAGGGTTGTGGGTTCTTATCTAAATTTGCTTCTCCAGATAGGAGCTGGGTGCTAATTACGGGTCAATTAAGCTGTTAAACCTGGAGCAAGCTGCTGTCACTCCAGATTGCTCCAAGTGTCCTGAGATTTTATCAGGCACGGCCAGAGCATGGTGACATGGGCAGGACAGAGCCAGAGGGTGTCAATCAATGAGGGACACCGGGGTCCCTGTGGGTGCTGTGGTGTGACTGTGGTGTCCCCTCAGTGTTGTGGTGTCTCTGTGGTTCTTGTGGTGTCCCATGGTGTGACTGGTGTCCCCGCGGTGTCGCCCGGTGTAACGGCCCCGTTTCCCCGGGAGCAGACTCCAGCCCGGTGCGGAACCCGCCGGCCTTCGGGCCGGACGAGCCGGTGTACTCCACGCGGAGGGTGACCCGCAGCCAGCAGCAGCCAGCTCCTGTCACCCCCAAGAAGTACCCGCTGCGACAGACCCGCTCCTCCGGCTCCGAGACCGAGCAGGCCGTGGACTTCTCGGACAGAGGTACCCAGAGGGGCAGGGAACGCTGCAGTGGTATCCAGAGGGGCAGGGAATGCTGCATTGGTACCCAGAGGGGCAGGGAACGCTGCAGTGGGACCCAGAGGGGCAGGGAACGCTGCAGTGGTACCCAGAGGGGCAGGGAACGCTGCACTGGTACCCAGAGGGGCAGGGAACGCTGCACTGGTACCCAGAGGGGCAGGGAACGCTGCACTGGTACCCAGAGGGGCAGGGAACGCTGCACTGGTACCCAGAGGGGCAGGGAACGCTGCACTGGTACCCAGAGGGGCAGGGAACGCTGCACTGGTACCCACAAGGACAGGGAACGCTGCATTGGTACCCAGAGGGACAGGGAACGCTGCACTGGTATCCACAGGGGCAGGGAACGCTGCATTGGTACCCAGAGGGGCAGGGAACACTGCCCTGGTACCCAGAGGGGCAGGGAACGCTGCAGTGGTACCCAGAGGGGCAGGGAACGCTGCACTGGTACCCACAGGGGCAGGGAACGCTCCACTGGTACCCACAAGGGCACGGAATGCTGCTCCCGGGGTGGGAGAGGCTCTGTGCAGCCCCTGGGGTGTTTTCAGGGGTGTTTTTGGGAGCCCCGTCCCCTCAGCCCCGTCCCCTCTGCCCTCCCCAGACACCAAGAACGCGGCGGATCACGACGAGTCGCCGCCCCGCACCCCCACGGGGAACGCGCCCTCCTCGGAGTCCGACATCGACATCTCCAGCCCCAACGTGTCCCACGACGAGAGCCTGGCCAAGGACATGTCCATGAAGGACTCGGGCAGCGACCTCTCCCACCGGCCCAAGCGCCGCCGCTTCCACGAGAGCTACAACTTCAACATGAAGTGTCCCACTCCCGGCTGCAACTCCCTGGGTAACGCCCGTGGCAGTCCCGCTGCAGGCTGCCTGCTTGGCTGGGTGCAAATCCCAAATATAGCAGGGAATCAGGTCAGGAATGGCAAGGAGCGGGTCTGGAGAAGGGATGTGAGGCGTAAATACAGGGAGATGTTTTCTGTTTTGGGGGTGACGGGATGAGGAAGCAGACAGGAGGGTGAGCACAGGTGTGGGAGGAAAAGTCCCAGATTTGTGGAACTGGTTTTTGGCAGAAACAGGATTTCAGTCCCAAACTATTGCACTCCTATCCCTGGCTGCCTTGGCTTAGTGTGAGAAAGATTTTCCTTCCTTTTTAAACCAGGAAGTTTCCTCCTGCAATCCCCCTGTCGGTGATCCTGTGAGGGAGACTTCCTCCACCTCTTTGGGCTCATTTGTCACGAGTTTTGTTGTTTTTCTGACCCCTTGCAGGACACCTGACCGGGAAGCACGAGCGCCACTTCTCCATCTCGGGCTGCCCTCTCTACCACAACCTGTCAGCAGATGAGTGCAAGGTAAACGTGGATGGTTTTGCCTTCTGATTTCTCCTCTTTTGGGATTTTTAGGGTAAAATGCTGAGCCCTGTGATCTGTGAGCAGCACACAGTTCACAGCTGCGTGCTGCTGCGTTTGGCTGGGAGGCAGCGGCATTTGTGTGTCTCCCCTGGAAGGGCAGGGGGTGACAGGAGGTGGCTGCAGCCCTGACAGGTGAATTTTGGCCCCCAGGTGCGAGCGCAGAGCCGGGACAAGCAGATTGAGGAGCGGATGTTGGCCCACAGGCAGGATGACAACAACAGGCACGCCACCAGGCACCAGGTGAGGGGACAGCCTCAGCTCCCAGCTCCCAGCACAGGGCTTGGGGCCTGGCTCCCTTCTCCACATCCTGAGGAGCTGCTGTTCCAGAGGGGGAATTCCCTGGATCAGTGAGGTTGGAGCAGGCAGGGAGAGCAGAGCTGTGTTCAGGATGATCCTTCCCCCGTGTCTGGCTGTGCAGGAGCAGGGAATTCCTGCAGAGCTGTAAGCTGCAATTTCCCTCTGAGTAACCAGCAGAGAGCCAAACCAGGGGAATGACATTTCCCAGTCCCTGAGTCAGCTGGGAGCTGTTCCCCAGCACGGAGCATTCCGTGGGGAGCTCACCCTGTCCTGTGGTGGGAAGGAAAATTTCCTGCTCTGCATTCCTGTGCTGCAGCCGCAGTGCCCTGTGATTAGCAGAGGGTATGGCTCAGACCTCGTGGAATGGCAGCCAGGATGGAATTCCGTGGGGTGGGCAGGGAAGGGGGAGATTTGGAGGGGCTACAGCCTCTCAAGGTCCCACCTGGGGGTTCTTTCAGGCCCCCACGGAGAGGCAGCTGCGGTACAAGGAGAAGGTGGCTGAGCTCAGGAAGAAGAGGAACTCGGGGCTCAGCAAGGAGCAGAAGGAGAAATACATGGTAAAAGCAGGAATTCCATCCTTTCATCCCTCCCCTGGGATGGAGTTTGGCTCTCCCAGTCCTCCTGCAGCATTCCCAGCTAGAAAAGCTGCAGGATCCAGCAGCTCAGCAGCCAAAGCGCTGTCCTTTGGTGTTCCAGGAGCACAGGCAAACCTATGGCAACACCAGGGAGCCTCTCCTGGAGAACCTGACCAGCGAGTACGACCTGGAGCTGTTCCGCAGGGCTCAGGCCCGCGCCTCCGAGGACCTGGTGAGATCCCTGCCCCGGGCACGGCCCCGGGGGCTCTGTGGGAGCTGGGCAGCAGCTCCAGGCCGCTGGAGCTGAGCTCTGCGCTCAGGAATGTGCTGCGGTGACATTCCAGGGGTGCTCCCAGGGCACAGGGACAGCTTCAGCGTCCCTGCCGAGGCTTGGTGACAACAAGAGCCACCGCGGCCTTGGCCCGTGACTGAGTTCACAGGCTGGTGTTGCTGAAGCTCCTGAGGAGCCTCCCAAAGCCACATCCCATTCCAGAGAGGGATCAAACGATCCTTTGATGCTTTCCTGGGACGGTTGGGTACCTGGGGCAGGGCCTTGGGCTGTGTCACCGAGCCACAGGATGGACTGGGCTGGAAAAGCCCTCTGAGGTCATCGAGTGCCACCCGTGACCTGACACCACCTTGTCACCAAGTGCCACATCCAGGCTCTTCTAAACACCTCCAGGGATGGCAACACTTCCTGGGCAGCCCCTTCCAATTCCCAGTGCCTCCTTCTGGGAAGAAATTCCTCCTCATGTGCAGCCTAACCCACAGCTTGGGGCCGTGTCCTCCTGTCCTGGGGTTCCCTGGGAGCAGAGCCTGGCCCCACGCTGGCTGAACCCTCTTGATGGGGTTATGGAGAGGCAGGAGATGTCCCCTGATCCTTCTCTCCAGGATAAACACCCCCAGCTCCCTCAGCTGCTCTCACTTGTGCCCTGTCCCTGCGGCTCAGGAAAGGAGCAGGGAGTGTCGGGGAGCTGTAGGAATTGAGTGAAAGACAAATCCAGAAAACTTGAAATAGATTTCCTCCAGGAAAACAAATCCCAATTCCCCTCCTGCTGCTTGGAATGAACCTTTTGGCTAAGCCTGCTTTTCCCCCGGGGCAGGAGAAGCTGAGGCTGCAGGGGCAGATCACCGAGGGCAGCAACATGATCAAGACCATCGCGTTCGGGCGCTACGAGCTGGACACGTGGTACCACTCGCCCTACCCCGAGGAGTACGCGCGCCTCGGGCGCCTCTACATGTGCGAGTTCTGCCTCAAGTACATGAAGAGCCAGACCATCCTGCGCAGGCACATGGTGAGGGCTGGGGGCCAGTCCTGCTGGGAATGCTGCTGTGGGGTCAGGGAATGGCTCATTCCTGCTGGGAATGCTGCTGTGGGGTCAGGGAGGGCTCATTCCTGCTGGGAATGCTGCTGTGGGGTCAGGGAGGGCTCATTCCTGCTGGGAATGCTGCTGTGGGGTCAGGGAATGCTGCTGTGGCACCGATGCCCAGCCAGGCTCAGCCCGTGCACACGGCAGTGTCTGACCCCAGGCTGGCGTGGCTGGGTTGCAGCGGCAGGCCAGGCAGCAGCTCCCTGTCCCCCTGCAGCAGCTGCTGTCCCCAGGCCAGCGGTGACAGCCCCGATTTTGTCCCTGTCCCAGGCCAAGTGTGTCTGGAAGCACCCGCCGGGGGACGAGATCTACCGCAAGGGCTCCATCTCCGTGTTCGAGGTGGACGGCAAGAAGAACAAGGTGAGAGGGGCCAGGCTGGGCCCTGCTGGCCCTGCAGGCAGCCGGGGTGGCCCTGCTGGCCCTGCCCACAGAGGGGCTGCTGCAGTTTGTGGGGCAGAGGTGAGGGGCAGGATCCAGGCTCATCCATTTCCATCACCGCTAGAATTGTTTCCTGGCCCAGCTGCTCTGTTCCCCCATCGTGTCTCAGATGATTCTGACTCTTTGTGTCCTTTCCTGGGTGGTTTTGCCCACATTTGGGGTATCCCACTGGAGTAAACACCTGCATCTCTTTTTTGTGCCCAGATCTACTGTCAGAACCTGTGTCTGCTGGCAAAGCTTTTCCTGGACCACAAAACCCTTTATTATGATGTGGAACCCTTCCTCTTCTATGTCATGACGGAGGCTGACAACACCGGCTGCCACCTGATCGGGTATTTCTCCAAGGTCAGTGGAAAACATTCATCCCCCACCTCACCAAAATGGGATTTAGGGCCCCCCCTTATCAGCCCTGAATCCCTTTTGCAGTCTCAGGGTTTGCTGCTCTTGGGAGCAGGTGAAAGTCCAAGGCTGAGCTGCAGGGGTTGTTCTGTTTGCTGAGGGGTTGCAGGTGTTGTGCTGCTCCATCTTTTCTCATTCCCTGCAAAAACCAAAGCAGCTCCAAGGAATTGTGGTTGCCAGGAAGCAGAGTGGTTATCTTCGTTAGGGAGAAAGAAACTGGGAAGGAATGAAGATAAATATTAATCACTATGATTTAAAAAAAAAAATAAAACAGCTAAAGGAATAAAAATTCTGAGTTCAGCCCCTCCTCTCTGCTCGTTTCCAGGAGAAGAATTCCTTCCTCAACTACAACGTGTCCTGCATCCTGACCATGCCCCAGTACATGCGACAAGGCTACGGCAAAATGCTCATTGACTTCAGTGAGTGTGTGGGGGGAAATTCCAGGGACAAATCCCTCCAGCTCCACCAGGAAATCTCCACTGGCTGCTGCTGCTGGAGCACCTTCCATCCTGGCTCGTTTCTGAGTCGTTTACATATGGTTCTTTTTACATTTTTTAGGCTATTTGCTGTCTAAAGTAGAAGAAAAAGTCGGCTCCCCTGAGCGTCCCCTGTCTGACCTGGGCCTGATCAGCTACAGGAGCTACTGGAAGGAAGTTCTGCTGCGGTACCTGCACAACTTCCAGGGCAAGGAGATCTCCATCAAAGGTCAGGGGGGTTTTTGGGAACACCCCCATGCCTCTCAGGCCTGCCTCACCCACCCAGGTGTTTGTGGAGCTCTGAGTTTCCTGGGATATCCCTGTGGTTGAGAATGGGCCATTTGCAGCATTTGAAAGGATGAATTGGCTGATTGATGAAAAGAATGACAATTTTAAAAAGATTCAGCAAAAAGCTTCATCCAGCTGTGTTTTGGAATGTTTGTTTTAGCAAAAAAAATGGCACCAGCAGCCAATATTGAGAATATTTGGCCTTTTTTTAATGGCATTTCTCTGCTGGTGGCACCTGGGAGGATGTGGAGTTCCCTGGGGACACGAGGTACCCTGGAGAAGCAGGATTGCATCTTCCCTCAGGGGATTTCTTACAGATCCCACAGCCAGCACCCCCAAACCCCTGCCCTCCTGGCTGTGCCTGCCCAGTCCCACATTCCCCAGGGGACTGCAGCCAGCTGGGGCTGGAGCCCAGGGCTCTGGGGCTGGTTCAGAGGCTCTGGGTGGGCTCTGATTGCAGAGATCAGCCAGGAGACCGCTGTGAACCCCGTGGACATCGTCAGCACCCTGCAGGCCCTGCAGATGCTCAAGTACTGGAAGGGCAAACACCTGGTCCTCAAGAGACAGGTGAGCCTGGGCCTTGCTGGGGGGATCTTCCTTCACCTTCTCCTTTTCCTTGCTGGAATCAGAGGTTCCATGGGTTCTCCTCCTTTTCCTTGCTGGAATCAAGGATTCCATGGGTTCTCCTCCTTTTCCTTGCTGGAATCAGGGATTCCTTGGCTTCTCCTCCTTTTCCTTGCTGCAATCAGAGGTTCCTTGGGTTCTCCTCCTTTTCCTTGCTGGAATCAGGGATTCCATGGCTTCTCCTCCTTTTCCTTGCTGGAATTAAGGATTCTATGGGTTCTCCTCCTTTTCCTTGCTGGAATCAGGGATTCCTTGGGTTCTTCTCCTTTTCCTTGCTGGAATCAAGGATTCCATGGGTTCTCCTCCTTTTCCTTGCTGGAATCAAGGCTTCCATGGATTCTCCAGCCTGCTCATTCTCATCTCCAAGTAAAACAGGATGTGGGAATCCGACCTTGTTCTTCAGCAGGGCAGGACTGAGCCCTGCAGGACAGCCCAAAATCCCCCCCTGAGCATCCCTGGGAGGGGTATCCAAACACCCCTGGAGCTCTGGCAGCCTCGGGGCCGTGCCCATTCCCTGTTCCAGTACCCACCACCCTCTGGATGAAAACTTCTCCCTAAAATCCAACCCAGACCTGCCTGACCCGCTGTGACCAGGACTGATGGAGCCCTGCATGGCTCCTGCTTGTTCCCTCCCTGATAAATCCCTGGGTGGTGGGGTTTGGACCCCAAACCTTCTCCCTTCCCTGGGACCCCTTTGGAGCTCGATTGAAGGGCTTCTAGAAAACTCCTTGGAGGAGAAGTTAGTTGTTCTTTTGGGGTAACTTTGGTGTTATTTTGGTGTTGTTTTGGTGTAACTCTGCTGTTATTTTGGCCTTGTTTTTGATGTATCTCCGCTGTTATTTTGGTGTAACTCTGCTGTTATTTTGCTGTTATTTTGGTGTAACTCTGCTGTTATTTTGGTGTTATTTTGGTGTAACTCTGCTGTTATTTTGCTGTTATTTTGGTGTAACTCTGCTGTTAATTTGCTGCTCCTTTGAGGCATTAATGGCTGAGCCCCCTCCCCTTGGTGGTGCTGTCCCAGGGGTGGTTCCCCAGCAGGATCAGCCCTAACCTGCCCTGCCCTGCTCTCCCCAGGACCTGATTGATGAGTGGATCGCCAAGGAGGCCAAGAGGTCCAACAGCAACAAGACCATGGACCCCAGCTGCCTGAAGTGGACCCCTCCCAAGGGCACCTAAGTGTCCCCGCCAGTGTCCCCAGCAGAGAGGCGCCGCAGGGATCCGCGCGGTGCCGTGGTGGTTGGCTGCTGCAGTGTCCCCAGGCCGGTCACCCCCGGGCTGGCCCTGTGTCCCCACAGTTCTGAGGAACTCGGATGTTTCGGCCTCAGTGAGGCCGCGAGGACTGGAAGTGGCTGGGAGCCCCGGGAAGCTGAGGAGCTCTGGCTGCTGGGCCTGTCCCCGTCCCTCTGTCCTGCTCCGTCCCCCTGTCCCTCCTGCAGCTCCCCTGGCTGCTGGGGTCACCCCTGGCTCTTGGACAATGCTGGAAATGCTTCTCTGGGGCAGCCCTGCCTCCCCCAGCGCCGCGGTGGCAGCGGTGTCACTCCTGTCCCCTTCCGTGTCTGAAATAGCTTTAGTGGGATATTCCCCCTGTCCCAGCAGCTTTCCCCAGGATCCAGCAGATCTTCACTTAGTTCCTGTTGTACGGCCAGAATTGCACCTCCTGCACCACTGGGTGTTCCTGTCACCCCCTCCTGGAGCCACCACAGCCCTGCTGGAAGCACCTCTGGATTAGAATTCCCGTTTTTCCTGGTGTGTATCTCGTGGAATTGCTGAGTTCCTGTACATAAACAGCCTGCTGAGTGTATTCCCCTGGAGATGTTTTTCCCTGAGCAGCCTTCCTGGAACTGCAGGTCCCTTTTTATTGGTGGTTTTTTCCCCTCCAGGCTGAAGGAATCCAAACTTTGGCCTTTTCCAAAGAGCCACAGGAACTCCCAGCACCAATTGCTGTGCCCCAGGGAGGGATGGATTCCCTGGCAGGGCAAAAAAACCCCTTTGATTCCTCCCTCCCATCAGCAGAAATATCCCGGAATGGCCTCCCAGTAAAACCAGTGTCCTCGTGCCACCTTCCCTGTGTGGCTCCAGTGCCACTGGCAGAGGGACAGCCCCGGGAAGGGGCTGAATTCCCTGATCCCAGTGCTGATTTCAGAGATCCCAGTGCTGATTTCAGTGATCCCAGTGCTGATTTCAGAGATCCCAGTGCTGGATTCCCTGATCCCAGTGCTGATTTCAGTGATCCCAGTGCTGATTTCAGTGATCCCAGTGCTGGTTTCCTCTACCCCAGTGCTGATTTCATTATCCCAGTGCTGGATTCCCTGATCCCAGTGCTGATTTCCTCCACCCCAGTGCTGATTTCCTCCACCCCAGTGCTGATTTCAGTGATCCCAGTGCTGATTTCATGATCCCAGTGCTGATTTCCTCCACCCCAGTGCTGATTTCAGAGATCCCAGTGCTGATTTCAGTGATCCCAGTGCTGTTTTCCTCCATCCCAGTGCTGATTTCAGTGATCCCAGTGCTGTTTTCCTCCACCCCAGTGCTGATTTCAGAGATCCCAGTGGTCCCTCAGGGAACAGGATGTGAAATGAAACACTCCTGGGAAATTGGGAGCCATTCCCATTAACCCCTGCCCCATCCTGACTGGAAAAGTTCCTGCTGCTCCTCTGGTTCCCTGCCTTTCTCCTGAACCCCAAAGCAGCCCCAGCCCCTCGCTGCTCCTGGGCATTCCTGACTCTGCTGACGTTCCCAGGAGTGTCCCAGGCAGTGGCTGTGGAGCAGGGAGGGCCAGGCCGTGCTCCTGCTCCCGTCCCTGCTGCTCCTGTCCCCCTCCTCAATAAAAGCATGTTCCCGAGCTGCTCCAGCCGTGCTCCTGCTTTCCTGCAGCCCCCCGTGCCCCCCGGGCTCCTCTGGGACCCTCCCCAGGCCTGGGGGCGTCAGGATTGGCACTGGAGCAGCCTCGGGCTTGAGTCTTTGTCCCACACATCCTGCTCTGGACACTTCAGTGCTTTAAACCCTTCCCATGAGGGAATTTTCCCTGATACCATCCCAAACCTCCCCTGGCACCTGAGGCTCTTACTGGGACAAGAAGAGTTTCCCCACATGGAGTTTCCCCCTTTTCCATGAAGGAATTTTCCCTGATACCATCCCAAACCTCCCCTGGCACCTGAGGCTGTTACTGGGACGAGAAGAGTTTTCCCACATGGAGTTTTCCCCCTTTCCATGAAGGAATTTTCACTGATCTCCATCCCAAACCTCCCCTGGTACCTGAGGCTCTTACTGGGACAAGAACGTTTTCCCACATGGAATTTTCCCCTTTTCCATGAAGGAATTTTCACTGATACCATCCCAAACTTCCTCTGGCACCTGAGGCTCTTACTGGGACAAGAAGAGTTTTCCCACATGGAATTTCCCCCATTTCCATGAAGGAATTTTCACTGATACCATCCCAAACCTCCCCTGGCACAGCCTGAGGCCATTCTTGGGACCAGAACAGTTTTCCCCACACTGAGGGAAAGCTGCTGAAGGAAAATTCCCCGAGATCTCCCTGAACTTCAGGAGCTGCTCTGTGGTTCCTGAGCCTTGTCCCTTTGCTGGGATGGTTTGGGGCAGGACGGGGCAGGGAACAGGGGCTGATATTCCCAAAAGGAGCTGGGGGAGAAGCAGGAAGAAACAGGAGCTAAATCCATGCGGTGACTTCAGCTGTTCCTATTGTGATCCTCAATCCGCGGGGACAATCCCTGTGCCCCCGTCCCCCCCGCTGTCCCAAACCCACGGAAAGAGCAGGACCAGCCTCTCCCGGCCAGGGAAGAGCGGCTCTATTCCTGGGATCATCCCCTGTCATTATCTCAGCCTTTCCTGCCCTCCCCAGCCCGGCCCACGCGGCCCGAAACCACCAGAGGTGCAGGAGAAAAACGGGAGGCAGGAGAGGGAAAAGAAAACATCCCCAGGAAACCACAGATCCCAAAGGCTCCTGCGGCTTTCCTGCAGGGCAGCTCAGCCCCGGAGCTGCCAGGCGGGAGTGACCCTCCCTGCCCAGCTGGAATGTTCCTGGGAATGCTGGAATCTCTGGGATCGCAGCTCCTGCCATGGTTTGGGATCAGGGATTTCATTCCCTGCGCTGGGCAGGGCGCCTCCCACCACCCCAGGGTGCCCAGGCCCCATCTTTGGACACTTCCAGGGATGGAGCACCCACATTTTCTCTGGAAAACCCATTCCAGCCCCTCATCCCCGCCTGCCGTTCCCAGTTATCCCAGTTTGGGCACGCCTGGAACTCCCTGAGCTGGGAGCTGGAGCTCCTCCGCCTCCGGGGGCTGAGCCCGAGCCCGGAGCAGCTGGGAAGGAGCAGGATCCCAGAAAAACGGGGATTTGGGGCAATTCCAGCGAGTTCCTGGAGAGCCCAAACTCCCCGGGAGCCCCGGGAAGTGGCGGTGAGGGAAAAACCTTCCCGAGGTTTTCCAGCGGGGCAGCAGAGGGTGCTGCGTCCCCGGGCAAAGGCACGGAACTCCCGGGAGCTCGGGGTGCCTTTTGCTGGGAATTTATCCCTGATTTCTGGGCGAAAAGAGAGGGATACTGGGGATGTGGGAAGGGCAAGGGGAGAGGAACAATTCCCGAGCTGTGCTGGGCTGTTTGAACCATTCCCGGCTCTGCAGCGTGTTGGTGGGGAATCCATCATCAGGGAATCATCAGGGAATCATCAGGAATCATCAGGAATCATCAGGAATCTGGGAATCCCAGCCCGGATTGGGCTGGAAGGAGCCCAAAGCCCCTCCGGTGCCCCCCTCCCCTGTGCCGGGGTGATCCCTGCCCTTCCCTGCCAGCCCACGACATTCCCTGGGCTGTGTCCTCCTCGTTCCCCTTCCCGAGGGAGCCCCGAAAATCCCACCCGAAAATCCCACCCGAAAATCCCACCCGAAAATCCCACCCTGCTGCAGCTCCTGCTGCCAGCTGGGACAGGGAATTCGGGAATTCCTCCTCATTCCATCCCGGGCAGGGATGGGGATGGGGGTGGTGGGGATAACACACCGTGCCTGGGGTTTATCCCCACTCGGGGACTCCTTTTTCCTTTTTCCCTTCTTTTTGTGTCTCCCGCTCTGCCGGGGAGGAGATTCCCAAAGGGAACTGTGACGGGTGATCCCGAGTGGGATCCCAAAAACCATCCCAGGCTCCGGGATCATCGGGAAAGGCTTCCCTGCAGGAGCCCTGGCACTGTTTGGGCAGAGCAGGGCCCGGCTGGGGTTTGCCAGGGGAGCTCTCCCTGCGGATCCGGATGGAGCAGGAAGTTTTCCCGGTGATTCACCGGGAGCTGCTGCTCCCCGTGAGTCACCGCAGAGGGGGAGGGACCCACGGAATGCAGGGATGGAGGGATGGAGGGATCCATGGATGGTGGATGGATCCATGGATGATGGTGGATCCATGGATGGAGGGATGGATCCATGGATGGAGGGATGAAAGGAGGGATCCATGGATGGTGGATGGATCCATGGATGGAGGGAGGGATCCATGGATGATGGATGGATCCATGGATGGAGGAATGGATCCCTGGATGATGGATGGATCCATGGATGATGGATGGATCCATGGATGGAGGGAGGGATCCCTGGATGATGGATGGATCCATGGATGATGGATGGATCCATGGATGATGGATGGATCCCTGGATCCGTGGATGGATCCTCATCCCAAACTGGTAACGGAAATCGCTGCTGTGGCTCCTGGGCTCCATCCCAGGGGGAGAAGAAAGCAATGGGAATTTGCAGGAAAAGGGCCTCAGGATGAGATTTTTTCCACCAGAAAGGCACATCCCAGGACACTCCAGGACAGGCCAGAATATCCCAGGACATCCCAGGACAGATCAGGATATCCCAGGACAGGCCAGGATATCCCAGGATATCCCAGGACATCCCAGGATATCCCAGGACAGGCCAGGATATCCCAGGACAGGCCAGGATATCCCAGGATATCCCAGGATATCCCAGGACAGGCCAGGACATCCCAGGACAGGCCAGGATATCCCAGGACAGGCCAGGATATCCCAGGGCAGGCCAGGGCTGTTTGGCTGCCCAGGGCTCTCGCGGGGCTCTCTCCTTTTCCATCCCCAGGAATTCTCCGCAGCCTCTCCAGGGATCCTGGGGCTCGGGACACGGAGGATTTTCCCGAAATGTTCCTCCCTGTCCGTTCCTGAGGAGCGGCACCCGGAGCTGCCTCTGGCCCGGCCGGGCTCCAGCCCGTCCCTCTGTAATTACGGGATATTTTTATTTTTGGCGTCCCTTCCTCTCCCTGTTCCGGGCTGCAGCCCCCGCAGGATGAGCCGGGGAAGGTGCCGGGCTCGGGAAACGGCAAATCCCAAATCCCAAATCCCAAAGGGTCGGGAGCAGCAGGAGCTGCTGGTAGGGCCCGCAGCCATCCCAGTGCTCCCAGTGCGGAGCTGGGCTGGGAGATCCGGGGGGGTGGGGGAGCAGGGGGTGCTGCACCTCGCTCTGTCCCTCTGGGGGCAAATTCCCAGCTGGTTGTCCCCAAAAAACTGGATTTGATGCTGGAGGTGCTGCTGGGGGCTGTCCCCGTTCCCAGAGCTGCCCTGGGACTGGATTTCTCCTGGTTTAAAGCTTTTCTTTCCTGAAATCCTATTTTCAAGCCCCTTTTAATTGAAGTTTTTCCCTCCCCTGGGAAACCCCTGGGATGGGCTTTGTGTGTGCTGGAGCAAAACCAGTTTGGGACTGGGACCAGACTGGGGTCAAACCGTTTCCTTCGCTCTCTTTCCAAGAATTAATTTTATTTTTCCAGTGGATCTGGAACAGGGAATGTTGAGGTTTG